TATTAATTTCAAAGTTTATTTTAATTTATTAAATAATAAATATTATTTTTTATTAATTATTAATTATTATTATTAATCAAATTAAACTCTAAGTCAATAATGAGCACTGCTAGAGTACTCGCCTCTTGCACTTTGCGGTCAACACTTCCACTTTCATTGGGCCACGTAAGCTTTCTTCGGTGGTTTTGGAACGCAACCTCTTAAATCCAAATAACGTGGTTCAATTACAATTTCATCAATTTATCAATTTTTATAATTTTTTAGTTACGAAATTTTTAGTCCATCCCTATTTCACATGTCAAATTTTAACGCCACAGCAGATGTGAATGTCATATCTTTGATATCTAGAGATTCTAAGGGCACATTTCACATGGTTGCTGAGCTCTAGGCCCTCACCGGCCCACGATGTCACGCTGGTAATAATTGTACTTTCCATTCGCTCAAACTTTATATCACCCTTCACACGGTCACACTGGCCTTTTCTGTTTTTCATGGGCCAATAATTATTTTTTTTGAATTATGTGCTCTGCTTTTGCAGAAAGTTGATCCCTGCTCAGCTTTGCCTGCATGAGGTTGAATGGCAAGGCAATTTCATTTAACATTTTGAAAACGGGGGCATGATATTGACAAGAGAGAAAGGAATCCGAGACAATACAAAAACATCTGAGAATAGAGAAATAATAGTGCATGAAAATTAAAAAAAAAATCACGAGATTATATTAAATTATAATAATAAATAAATAAAATTAACAAAATGACAATATTATTTTGCAATATTCACGTGACAATATCACGGGTCTACATATTTACTTATTTACGTTGTTAAGTAAAAAATTTTGTTATAAACAAAATTATGGTGAATGATTTTATAGAATAAAAATAAAATTATAGATAAAACTGAAATGCATTAAAATTTTAAATGCATGCCCACCGAGGCAAAACTTTTCCAACATTATTTTTACTGTTTAAAATGATAAGACATTTCTTCATAATAACTATTTACAGTCTTTTGTAATTGAGTGACGTTTGTTGTGCATCTTGGAAAGATCCTCCTAATTTTTTCATCAACTTGCACGCTACCTTTTTTCTTTTTTTGACCAGATTACCCAGGGGCTGGGAAGCCCAGCCCAGAAAAAAAGGGAGGGGAATGGCTTCGAACTCGAGGCCTATAAGTAAGATTGTCAAAATTAAGATTTTACCTAAAATTATTTTGGTTAGGTGAAATCGAAATCGTAAAATCGAATCGGTAAAATCAAGATTTTACAAAATTTAATATATAATATATAATAAATTAAATAAAAAC